TTCAATTTTTTATTATGAAGCAAAACATTATTTTAAATTATGAAATAGCCATAATTATCGGCTAGTATTGACCATCATTCTAACAAATTTTCATTTAATTCCCGATTGAAATGGCTGTCCTGGAGGTCAAAGAAGTGAGTGATGTCTGTTTCGACCACTACTTTTGTTTTATAATTTCTACGATTAAAGGCTGACTGCAGAGAATGATATTAGCACTCATCTTATAGAGGAATAACAGGAGTATACGGTGGGTAGGAGTAAACTTCTCATTCAAAGTTCTGTAACTTTTGTTGGGCAATTTACTAAAAATGTGGTCTAAAAATAGGCTGAAAATAGGCATATTTTAGGTATGTATCAAATTACATCCTCTGAACAAACTCCCTGTGTGGTTTAAATGGCCACAAATTATTTTCCAGTATAAGCATAAGTTGACCAACTATTCCATGTGTGAAAATCGCGGGTCGCACACTACCCAAACTTTTGGCACATAATTGTCCACTTCCCGGTGTCGGGCCGTTCGGTTGCGATCTTTAAGCTTATAATCACAAGATTTAAAACTTTTGATCAATTCATGTCATTGTTTGATATTCAATGGATCGTTTAGGACTTATATATTGTTACTGCGGGTCTATTCATTATCCATTTAACTTAAAACAAAAATAGGTCATATTTTTTAATCTTCTCGGTATCACAACATTTGGGTAAAATCATCACTTGTTGAAATAATTTTGAAACTTTTTATACACCAAATTAAAGAGGAATAACGAATGTATAAAATATTGGTTAGATTGATATGATGAGATATACCAAACAAATTTGGGAGCCATTCAAAAATAGCCTTATTTATATTCCTGTTATATAAACTCATCCCTTATACAATAACATTAAAAATAAAATTTCCCATTTTATTAGTGATTTCGGAGGAAAATGCTATCGATTACGGAGAAGAGGCGAACACCGATGCCATGAATCTAAGAGCATATAANAATTCTCAGAATTGTATATAATTTTAAGAAAATTGTTAAATTTTTTACACAACTAATCAAATGATTAATGGACCTTGATAATGGTAGTAACTAGCTGTTAAGTTTAATAGTTTAATAATAAATTGTTTGTTAAGTATCAGTCTTTATATAACTTTATTAAATACTAATTGTTTGGTCTTTAGAGCGTTTAAAGTGATTATTGTTTGCAATTATGAATTTCATAAGTGTTTTGACATTCAATATATCGATCATTCAATTGTCACATTTATTTCTAATCAAATCTACAATATTTGCTTTTGATATGATTTATAAAACTCACATTAATCTTGAATATTGTATTTAGAAAGATATTATATCTATTAGAATCATAAAAAATAACAGATATGTAATATAATTGAATGTGGCATTCAATCTAATGATCAAACATATTAGAGTGTGATTAGGGAACTATTTCTTGATTTTCATATTTAAAGTTAAAATATTAACAAAAGGTTCATTTAATTTATTAATATTTTTGTAAAAAGTTAATGCAATTTTACCACTTATCATGAAAATTAATTCTCATTTTTGATAATATCTAATAAATTCAATAGTTTTCGTAAATAATTAATTGATTTGTTATTATATTAATTTATATTTAAATAACGTTTAATTTATATACATTTATATAAAGTTCAATATTTGATAGCATTATTAAATACATATTAAATAAAGATTTGTTTAAAAGTTAAACAAAAGACAAACCCATTGATAAAAGAGCCAAAATCATCGCCTCCTAAGTCTATGTTTTCAAATTTAAATTCATGTTCAGTATTAGTAAAACCGGTGTTTCTGAACGCCATTCCTTCGCCGCTTTTATTTGGGTTTAATTTCTTCCTTAACACCACTTCTTCGGCATTGAAATCATTTCTGTTCACTGAAGACATGTTATTATAATCATAATTAAACCGATTATGGTTTAAGTTCGGGTACTCGACATTCCGTTGTCTGTCCATTATTTAAATTATTATTATTATTATCGGCAATAATAATACAAGAATTTAAGATAACATTGTTATAAAAAATTAATTTTATCCCACATTATATTTAATAACAAATACAATTAATAAATGTGTGAATTAAATAACTGTTTTAATTGAGAGTGTTTTGCACTCTTGTATTGTCACAACTGATGTGCAAATTATAAATAAAATCAATTCAATTTTAAAATATCAAAAGATCCTGGATCACTACCAATACAAACAATATAATTAATCAATAATTTAATGACTAATAATTTCAATGAACTAATAAAACCCTCAATTGATTTGTCTTTATCAACATTAAATACCGACATCAATTAAATATAAGAATATAAGGTATATAATAATTGGTTTTTGTTGCGATAAGATAACAGGTATAATAATCGACAGCAATTGAAAATAAATATTTTATTAATTAGTAATTATTAAATTAATTCAAAATATATTTGAACTAAATACAAATTAATTAATAAATAAGATTAAGGAATTAATGAATATAACTGAAGTAATATTATGTTTTAAACTGGATTTTAATCTAAATGTGTTTTGAATTAAGTGCTCATTATTTAGCGATATGTTGTAACCATCAGATACTTTGGTTGAGTGGACTGTTGCGGGCATTAAATGGTGGATTCAATAGACAAGGCACTGACTTTTGGTTTGAACCCATTGTTGAGTGTTTACCCAAAGAAAGAAAGTATAGTCCTCTCCAACCCTTGGGATGTGGTGTAAAGATGGGGACAATCCTTGCAGTGACGGACATTATGGTTGTCTTCGTTGTAACTTTGATCACTTGTTGGCCATTAGGTAAATAGGAAATGTTTGGTTCGAGAATCGCTGGATAATCAGTATGTTATAGTAACAAATTGTCAACATGGTCACATTTCCATTTATGGTTCTCTTCATATTTCATTACATCATACGGTATGTTATTATTACAAATATAATATAATGCAAACATAAACAGAATTAATTATAACAATTTCAATGATTTGCATATAATGTTTGATAAATCTTTATAATTAATTGCTATTAAAATTCAAATAAATTAAATAAATTGCTTAATAGTTTGCAATTATTAGATTTATCAGATTAATTAATTGTATAAATTATTTTTTTAAACTAGTCATATACCAACTAATTAATTTATTATAATTAAAAGGAAATAATTTGAATACGTCATTACTTTTGTACTTTTTTAAGCATTTTATAATAATTAATTAATTAATAATTATTAATTTATCATAATTTTTGTTTGTTTTTATGACCATCTTTATAAATTTAAATAAAAAGCTGAATTTCGTTTATTGCAATTAATTGGATAATTACGCAATTAGTTAAAATTTTAATTTTATATATAAACATAGATTTAATATCTTATGATTTTAGTAATTGAATTTTGTGTTAACAATTCATCTGGTTGTAAATCAGTTAGTAAGGTAAATTAAATTACGGTATAACTATTCTTTTTGTTATACTCAAGTTTTTTCGGTAAAATATTTTTTACATAGAGTTAGAGTCTGATAGTCGTACAGTCGAGACCACTGCATGACTATTATTTCCATAACAATATTAATTAAAAATAAAAATATGTATAATTAAAAATATTTTATTACTTGTATTCGCACAGATTAACAGCGATTACCAAACATAATTAAAATGGATATGAAGCCACGTGTATACAACAGGGCTAATATAGCTCACAGAACCTTTGCTGATAAACTAATTGAGCATATTTTGGAAATCACTGGAAATAATACGTGAGATATTTTGTAAATATGTTTAATATAAATATTTTCAAATATAATTTATAGTTATTTTGATGTAATTCTGGACATCGGTTCGGGTTCGGGAAATGTAACCGACGTGTTGGCCGATAGTGTAAAACACCGACAAATTATTGGTTTAGATATCGACCCAAAAATGATTGACTTTTCGATACAAAACAATACAAAACCGTCAATTGATTATCAATTGGAAGACATAAGCAAACCGTGGGATGAGTTGAGCGCCGATATCCGAGCGCTGGAGGGAAAGGTGTCTCTCGTGTTCTCGAACTCCACTTTAATGATGATTCAAAACAAGTCCACATTTGTTCACAATTTGCGCCGACTTATGGCCGACAATAGCTATGCTTTTACATCGTTTGTATTGATTCACAACTTTACAACTAAACTTTCACCGGAAGAGAGGTCTGAATGCGAGAAATGGATAAAAATACCCGATTATGACAAACAGGTATCCATTTGGACGGATGTGTTCACTACACAAGGATTCACTATAGAGTTGACCGAAATTAAGGATAATTACATTATAAATGACACTTCACTTGTTAAGCGTAAGTACCCAAACAATAAAACAAACTACAGATTCAATATTCATAGATTAATAATTGATATTTTTAATTAAATATTATTTATATTTAATTTAATATTATAATAATGCGTTTACAATGAATTGTCTAAAGAGGTAATACCACTGATGGAAACCTTTCACAGCTATTATCAAGTGAATGGCTTGACTACGGCTGACATTCCTCCGCATTTAAGGCGCCGTTTTCAGGACCTGTCGGCCGACCAGTGGTGGAACTCCCGGAGCGAAGAACTCGACCCTACGATCATTTCGCGGGCGTTGAACGGAGAGTTAGGCCACTCTATGGAGTTTTATTACAAACCCGCATATATTATATGTAGGAAAACATTTTAACTTATGCATGATGATTTGCTCCATATCTATTAAAAGGATTTTGGTAGTTGTTATTGAGAACTTATTAGCATATTTAAAAATATATCACTCTTGTGCTTAATTAGTATTCACAATATAGTTGGAGCCAATTAAATTTATAATTTAAATAATGTATACCATTTTATTGGACGTCATATTAATAATTAAATTTTATTAAATATAAATAAATATTAAACAAATATTTTTATGCATAATACTATTTAGTAATGAAAACATGCGTTTTATTGCAAAACAATGACTTCAAATATAAATAATAAAATGAGCATAAAATGACATAATAGATGTGACATCTAAGATGTCTATAACATAATATGTTTGGTAAACTAATTTCTACTAAAAAACTTAAATTCTACCTAAGAATCGTAATTTGTTTTTTAATAAAATATTTTCTGGTTTTAAAGTTACTAGACATTTTTCTAAACACATTTTTTATGCAGCTGTGCTTTATATTAGATGCTGTATTAGTACAGATATTTGTAACAAAAAATGTTTTAATTACGGGAAAATGTGCTGAATTTTTAACCTAATTGATAATACAATACATTTTCGTAGAATAGCTATGAATTTACTGTTAATTAAACTTAACGCTTATTTAGAAACAATCTATTTAAATGTATTGATATTTACTTAATAGATTTTTATATTTAATTTAATTTATATTTTACATTTAATAAAACAAACCACTAATACCAATAATAATAGTTTTAGCGGAATTCAATCTATTTTCTTACAAATTAGTCATTTATTTTATACAGTTTTTATTTCATATTTACGTATATTAAGGTAAATATTGATTATGTATTTTTTTCTAAAAACAATCTGGTTTATTTAGCATTTTATACTAATTAACTTATGTCTATAAGATGTTAGTATTTTAACATATTTTGCTATAAACAGTGTAATATTCTTATAATGAATCATGATTTATTGAGTTATCCTTATTTATAGAATGACTGAAAATATTGGACGCATTGTACTGACGAAGAATGAGATGACAGGAATCGCCACCATTTGTATCGATAATTATCATAAAAGAAATGCAATAAACTTTGAAATGATGGAACAGTTGTCTCATGTGATCACTGAATTGGAAAACTGGTCAACAGTTAAGTCAATACGAGAGGACATTAATCAACATATTTTTCACATTTTGAGCTCAATATAGCATCAAAATCAATTTTATAGGATAGGGTCACCCCCCTCACCTAAATCCCTCCCCTCCTCTAACAGCAATTAATATATAAATACTGAAATCAGAATTTCTAAATCACAAAGTTTTAAAAATGTATTTTTTAAATCTATTTCCGAATTGTGGTTAAGCTATAAAATTGATTTGCAAACTTATTTTATTGTTTTTAAAAACACCAATTAAATGACAAAATTGATTATTAATGGGATTCATAATTAGGGAAAAGCGGTTATAATATACGGTAAAAACGGCTTTTTCTGTTCGGGAATTGATCTAAATTTTGCCCGAAACGAGTGCTCGAGTCGGGAAACTGGCGTCCGATTGAGTCGACTGATGGTCGCAAACACGACTCGACTACAGTCTCTACCGATGGTAACGGTTGCGGCGGTGGAGGGCCAGGCGTTGGCCGGCGGATCCGAGATTACCACCGCCTGTGACTGGCGTGTAATGAGCCGTTCGGCCCAAATCGGATTCATACACATACACGTGGGTGTGAGCACCGGGTGGGGCGGCGGCACACGACTCACCCATTTGTTGGGTCCCATTAAAGCTCTCGATCTATTACTGTCTGGTCGTAAGCTTAACGCCGAAGAAGCTCTGGCCATAGGTTTGGCCAATCGTTTGTTTGACGATATGGTAAATACCGATATGTTTATCGATGCTATCGCACAATGGCTTAACACATGTATTACTACATGCGATAAGAGTTTTATTAAACTATGTAAAGAATCGTGTTATAGTCGACCCACTTTATAGCAAATTCTGTAGTGTTTCTAATTAAGGATTTGTTTTTTTTAATGAAAGAGTATTTTTTAATCTTATAATTTATAATTACTTTTATTAGCTTTTATAATTATTTTTTACATTTAATTTTGCAATAAAGAAAATTGTTGTAATTATCAGTAGTTTATTTATTGTAAATGTTTTTTGTGCAATTTACAGAGGGCAAATGTAATTTAAATATATACATAAAATATTTAAATTAAATAAATGATGTTGATTATTTTTAATAGAACTTAATATTTAATTCATAATGCGTTAGTTTAATAACTGAAAAATAACTAATTATATCACACAAAAGATTATATCAACTATTTGTTCACTATTTTTCAGTGATTTTAGAGCAAATGTTCACTATTGAAAATTTTCAAGTTGGCAACACTAGGTCTTGCACACAATTACTCGATTCTATTATTCATGTCATTTATTCTTATTATATGAGTGTCTATACAAAATCTAACTTGGTCATTTAGAAATTATAGCAGAATGTTAAATATGATTACATTTAGGGCGATCATAGTTGTTTGAGTGATCATGTGTTTTGGGCTACAATTCAACACTTGTTAACCTTAAACCACTCCAAACAATACCAATTCAATAAAAGTTGTACCCCATGTTTCATTATAAAACATGGGGTAAAATATTGAGTAGATTTTTAAAACTCGAACATGTGGAAAACTTTATAATTTCAATTAAATTCCATAGAATACAATTTTATTAAAAGACACTGTTAACAGTTATAAATAAATACATATGCAGGTTGTACATTAATTGATTCCGCTAAAACAAACTTAAATATATCGAAACATGTTTGGTCTAGAAATTATAATAATATATTAAATTATATAACAACTCCGGGAGTTTATGTAATGATATGCTTAACATAATTGACCATGTACATACGGAACAATCTCAAAAAGATTAAAACTTTGTAATTTTCTCCATTGAGATAATGTTAAATTCAAACTGATTTTCAAAAATAATTCTGTAAACAAATATTAATTTATTTTGTGATTATTTTAATAACCCTCAAACAAAACAATTATTCTGTAAGTAGTATTTGATTTATTAAAATTGTTAAGTTTGGCAATAGATTAATAAAGTCGACACAGAATAAATTGACACGTGTTTTAGGATTTTCCTATAAAAATCAGTTTATATTGAACATTATCTTTATAGTGAAAATTTATATTAAATGTACACTGCTTAAATATTAAAAAAGACTACAAAAATATGAAAACTGAATTGGAAAGTATGGACGATAACAATAATCCAATTGTCGACTGCAAATACTCTGTGCCGACTCTAGCGGTAACAACACTGCCCTTTCAATACAACCCATTACACGACCGATTGGAGTCCACGTCCCGGCAATGGCTAATCGAGTCGAGCCTATTCACTGACGACCAGTGCAATAGACTGACCAACCCGTGTCTGTTCACCGCCTATTTCTATCCGTATTGCAATGACGAGCGCCGGTACGACCTGTTAAACCGGCAAATGGTTAACATTTTCATTATAGACGAACATTTGGTCGCGCCGTACGTCGAACAGGACAGTGAGAGTGCCGGCAAAGCCGATGCCATTGCCGGCCAATTGTATGAAATGTACGATAAGCTACTGTCAACTTCGGGTGCCGGGCGGCAGGTGGACACTCACCGCTGGCCGCCCTATATATTGGGCGCTTACGCCATATATGAAGCCATATTCGCCAACTTAGACGACTGTCAAAGGCGTCGCTTTGTTGAGCTGTGGACTCAATGGACGGACGCTATGATAACAGAATGCAAACATTTGAATAGCGATAGAAAATTCACCAATATCGATGAATTTTATGATGTAAGTTGTTAGATATTATCTGTATTAAATATAGTACAATATAAAATTGTGGTATAATTTAATCAGGTTAGAGAAATATTAGTGGGATTTAAACCAATATACCTAATGTGCGAATACGCCTACGATCTGCGCGTACCGGACGACGAGTGGCGGAACCCCGAGTACCAGCGCCTGCTGTCCGTATTGGCCAAAGCGGGTGTCATTTGTAACGATATTCACTCGTTTGAAAACGACATGAGAGACACAGGGGGTGGATATGACGGCCTCAACAATGGTGTGGCCGTATTGGCCCGCATTCACGATATATCGTTGACTGAGTCTATGAGCCGATTGGCCCAAATGTGTAGGGATCTGGAGAAAAGTGCCAAGATGCTTGTTGATGCAATCACTCGGGCCGACTGGTCCAGCCCTAGCACTCGCCAAGTGGTCAAATATTTGCTGTACGTTAACGGCGGTAATTGGAAAGCATGGCAACGATATATATCGATATGATAAATTTATATATTTTAGATGTTTTAATTTCTACTGGTACAATTAAAGTTTAATTTATGTCTTTTAATTAAGTTTATTTCAAAACAAAACAAATTGAAAAAACGCATACTTTGAAAATATTTCTCTTCCTATTATTATTTATTTGATTATTAGAGCACTTCTATCAAAATATTTATTTTAAACAGACTTTATCAGAATGATTTTATATATTCAAATCCTTATTCTTAACATTGAAATTAAAATCTAATAAACAATGATTGCGCTACAATTCAATAGGTTTTAATCTTATAAACTACAATTTCCATGCTGAATTTTAGTTAAAACTAGATTGTAATGTTTAAAAAGTATAATTACATCGAAAATCATGTAGATTTGATATTTAAAATAATAAATAATTCCGTTTATAAAATATCATATAATATTCTTATGGTATAAATATAAAATAAAGGTAATAAGTTAAACAAAACACTTTATTAAAATAGCAAATTAAATCTATATCCTGAATCCCTATTCAATTTAATTAATCAATAATTAAATGACTAATAATTTTGATGAACTAATAATAATATCAATTGCTTTGCTTATTATCTCCACTAAATTCCACATCAATTAACTATAAAATATACACTTTTATACAGAAAAATGTAGGTTTTGTTGTGATTAGATAACAGGTATATTAATCGATAGCAATTGAAAATAAATATTTTATTAATTAGTAATTTTTAAATTGTTTCAACAGATATTAAATACAAATTAATTTATATATAAAATCAAGGCATTAGTGAATATGCTATAACTTAAGTAATATTGTGTTTTAAAAATGCAATTGAATCTAAAAAGTGGTGTGAATTAAGTGCTCATCGGTTGGGGTTGTATTGTGACGATCGGTTACTTTGATTCAATTGACTGTTGCGCATATCAAACGAGGTCTTCGGCGGATTTAATAGCCACGACACTGGCCTTTGGTTGGAGCCGATGGTCGAGTCGTTGGGATCGATACTCATTTGACTTAAGCGCCGGTTCTCGTCGTTAATCATTGTATCCCTACGTCTTCTGATGGCCTGAAATGTTGACTGTCTTTTCAGTATTGACTTTCGCGGCCCATTCGCACCCATAGGGGCCTCTGTGTTGGACAGACAAATAGGTTTGAATTGTTAATTCATAATTTATTACAATAACAAATCGCTAAATACATACCAATACTATCGGGCCTTAAGCTCATAATCCTGCGCCGGAAGGCGGCGTCCAGATTAAGGGGCTCGGCGTCCGGTTTCGGCTCTTTCTTCCACATTGACTTTCGATTGCCGGGCAAATTAGTTGTCGCCGAACCCGCATTCGGGTCGTCGTATTCCTCCATTCCTTTCAATTTCTGAAACTGCTTAACAATATTGACCGCATTCTTGTTAAGAGCGGTCTCCTCGTCGTCGTCGTCGGCCTCCTTCGAGCAGAAGTCGATTGACGTGAAGGCCAGCAAATGGGCTAACGTTCCGAACCGATGCATAAACATACCGATCATTTGTATGACTAGAATGGCGCCGAAGAACACCACCAAAAACATGCCGATCGGATCCATTTTCATGTACCGATAGACTGGTGTCATTTCCCATCGCTCTTCTTCGTCGATATATCGGGTTTTGTTCCAGTAATCGATTCCGGCCTCGATCTCGAAGTTGAAGACATCGCCGTGCATTTGCAGCAGTAGTACAAACAGTATGAATATTGTGTTCATTATAGCAAATGCGAACACCATTTTGTTCCTCAAGTCTATCAGATCGGCCGCAATCCTCTTCTGTTCCTTCGGATTCTCATCCAATGGCAGCAAATATTTGGGTATAAAGTCCTGCCAAAACTGCAACTCGTTATCTTTGAGCGGAACCAATGGGAACTTCTTGAACGTCGGGTCCCGACACCAGCGAGGCTTCGAAGCGACCATCGAGTCGGCAATAGATGGCGACCGGAGTTTCTCTTCGATGAACGCCGACTGGGAGTCACTGCTGCGGTCGTCGTCTCCGTCCTCCTCATCAGTCTGTCCGCCGTGAATAGTGGAGAGTCCGCCCACATCTCCCCCGACGCTGTGCTTAGCGCTGGATGACTGGCGTCTGTACTGAACGGTTCCCCTACGGCTCTGATTGTCCGGTATTTCGACGCTGTGTTTAATTGTCGCGACGTTATCGTTGACGCGATTCAATTGTTCGCGTATTTCCGACAATTTGGCCGAATCCTCGTCGGATCTGTTGCTCGAACAGCACATACACGTGAAGAGACCCGCTTTACTGCCGAGTTTAGAGAAGTCTAACTTTCCAAACAGATTCCCCTTCTTGGCCTTCTCGGCCTCCTCTTCAGCGGCGGCCTCCGCAGCCATCGCCGCCTCTTTGGCCGTCAGTTTGGACTTGACTTCTCGAGTACCCCACGAAACGATATGCATATTTGTCACCGAATATATGGTTAACAATAAATACATACTCGGAATGAGTAACATATAAAGAGGAAGGGGTAAAACACACGCAAACTCTTGCGGGTGAAGACACGCGGCCAATACGAAACTGCCCATTAGTGACACAAAGAATATAGAGTTTGGTGTGAGAATGCCCTTGGTAAATATGTCAATGCCTGTGCCCACCAACACCGCCAACATTAGCAACGCGTAAAGTACACTCAAAATCATGGCATAGAATATAATGTGGTCGTTCTTCTTGACAGTCATACACACTATGGAAAAGGTAAGCACTGGCGCTATATTACAGCCGAGAGCCGCCCAACTATTGAGTCCCAACACTGTATTCATAGCTCCGACAATCATCAAGAATATAGTGGCCGGACTTAGTATAGTGCCCACCATTAACATGCCCTGGTATATAATGTACGGCTTAGAGATGTCTGTATTACAGGCAACCGTACGCTTATAATCGCCCAATAAATCCATGATATTAGCCATCGTGGAGGGCGCCCACCGACGCCTCTGTGTGTAAAAGTCTCCAAACGCTTCGGGCGCGTGAGTGTAGGAATCAGATGCGGCACAGTATTCAATACGCCTTAATTGAGAATGGACATTTTAAAAATTAACACTACATGATCATTATTTTTATCAATACATACCATCCCTGTTGTAACATAAGAGTGCAAAGCCATCTGTCCTCTCCCTGATCGTACTGAACATAATGTAAAGCCTCTGACGGCGGAGTCGTATACTTATTCATTACGCTGTCATCCATTACAGCCCGGGCTCTGAACAGTGAGAAACATCCGGGACTACAGAGAACACAACCGAACGCGTGTTCCGTCGCCTTCTGCAGCCAATGGCCGATCGCGTACTCAAACTTCTGGTACCAAACCATAGGTCCGCCACCGATAGGGTGTATGCGTCCGCACGCGGCGCCCAACTTCTTGTTCTTCTTCATGAGATCGACGACAAGATGTAAGGCATGCGGACGGAAGTTAATGTCTCCGTCCAGAGCCAACACAAACGTATTCATTGCAATCGTCTCTTTTCTCGCCTCATCAATAGGTCTTTCGACAATTCTGTGTCCCAACAGGTAATACATATACATGCACTACAATTGAACATATTTAAGTAACATGATTAGTTTATGGAAAACAATGTTATAGTATTCAACGCGTTATACCTGTGACCACCGCTTTCGATGTCTGATTAGGATCTTATCCTTGAGATGGGCAACGAGTTTGTTCTGCCCGGGAAGCATCCACTCAAGTTTCCCGCCGTAAGGCGTGGGCACGACATCGGGTCGTTTGAGCACTATTACGGTCTCGTGTACATTACTGGCCGCCTCGTCCATCGTATCGATCAATTGTTTCACAAATCTATTAACGAGTCGATCATCTTCATCATCGGAGGGACCTTGGTCAAACGCGTCGTCGAAGAATATATTGACTAAATAAAACATGTATTAATAATAGAGTAAATTTACGACAACAAGAATTTACACTCAATTTCGTAGTAATCGGTAAGCGATGGATGAATGTTGAAGAACTGATGGGCCTGTCGTCGGGCGCACTGGTCGGCGTCCAATCGCATGACAGCTTTGAGCATCTGGACCATCTCGTTTCTGTCTTCGTGCCACATCGTTGCGCACACAAAGATCCGGATCGTCTCGTCGTTATCGGGAACGGACGGAACGGCGGGCACCGCTTCGTTCACCGACTCGTACAAGTGGTTCATTGTCTTGTCGGCCATCAATGGTTTGGCCAACTTCTCAGCCTCCGTCGCCTCTTCGTCGACCACCACTTTGTCTATGATATCAATTCGCCGTCTATTCATAGCCAACGACTGGTCGACAATCACTGAGCTATACATCGGTATTAGGAAGAGCTTCTCCGTTGAGGCCAACCGTTCGCTCGTCGAGAACCAGATGTGGATTGAGATCCATATCTGTGAGGCCAACGACAGGACCCACATAATAGTGCTCACGTAATTGAACAGCTCTTTCTCGTAGGCAAAGGCGTCCACTTCTGTCGTATACCAGAATATATACTGAAAGCCATTGAAAAAGCCGTTACTGACGGCACACTTGTCCTGAGCGGCGGCACTGATGACAGCCCAGAGGAATGAGACGGTCATTGGGACGGATAGGTTGACGGGAACGGCGAAACTGAAGCCCTGAATACATATCTTACAGGAAAACTTGCCGACAGCATAGCAGGTGTAGGTCAACGCGATTTGTATCAACAGAATCCAAACGGCAACGTATGGGTCGGAGACAGACATTGTGAGCGATTCGCCTTCAATCGCCTGTTGAAACTCGAGCTGACTTTTGTCGCGAAACACTTTGATATCTTGATTGTTGAAACCGTCGCTGAAACGGGTGAAGAGACTCTTCACAGAGTCGGACCCGTTGTTGACGTACTCAAGCAGAATCATGAACGATAGGATGACCACGATTTTCCATATAGTGATTATGAAGTACGTAAAGTACCTCGATTTTACCAAATCGTTTTTGGATTTAAGCAGCCATTTGTTGAACGCGTTGTCCGATTGCGGGTCAATGAAGTTCTCCCACCACTGGAACGATACGCAGATCATAGCGATCGGTATATACCAGTATTGGTTACTGTCGTCGTGATGGACAACGAGTGGCCACAACACGAATCCCAACAACTGGAAGACAGTTGCCGTATATGTCAACAATAAATTCAGTTTTGAATTCTTGTCGGTATTGGAGAGTATAAGCAATATTCCGGGTATAAAACACAAGCCGTTGGTTATCATTACGCCTTTAATTACATCAATGGTCGGCAGTATTGAAAAGACCAGTAATGAGATGCCGATTGCATTTAGCGTTTCGGTTGTAAAGACCTGTCATATAATAAATATATTCAATTAATTATTACTAATAATAAACAGATAGAGTAGTACTGACCGTAAGGAACGTCTGAAGAGATGGCACTTGATATGTCTTAAAGTAGCAAATTCTGGCACTTCTTCCCCACGCAAACACTTCCGGTGTAATTACGGCAAAGAATAGGACCCAAAGCCAGGCCACCCTTTCCGGATCATTTTCGTGATATATGACGGTATATCTCTTGTCACTCTCGAGGGGTTTGTCCACTTCGTAGATGTCATCGTTACAAAGAGGTATTTTTAGGCCCACTTTTGTCATCGATATCATTAAAAATATCAATGATTTTGAGAGCACAGCACATCCCAGAGTGACCACAAATGTGAAGAAATAGGCGAATAGTTTGAGCCATTTTATGAATACCATAACCCATTCGCCATCGAGTGTCTCGTCCTCGTCGGGCGGCGGAAGTGTTTTGAAACGATCCCATGCTTTGAGTTCTTCGCTGTCTTTTCGCGGACTATTGTTTTGTGAATATTATTTATAAATTAAATTAATTTATGTATTTTATTAATTTAAATATTAATAATAAATTTTCTTCTATATTTCATCTAAAGTACTGTATATTATTTTTTGAACATTACTTTTTTTTTACTTGACAAATTGAGTTAACGTAAAAGTTAGTGCATTTTTTGATTAATTTTTGAAAACAATCCTAATATTGAATTGTGAAATATCACTCAATTTATTATTTAGACTTTATTTTGAATACTGATAAATAAAATGTAGTGCGAGTAGACTAATTGGGAAAGTATGTATTCCTTAAGATCCTTGTATTTAGCTAAATAAATAGATTAATCATTGCCAATCTAGATGACTTATTTGAATAACTATTGTACACAGAATTAAAGTTATGATAACTGTAAATATAATAAATTATTTTGTGATTTATTGGTTTTGTAGACAATTAGTCGGAATATACTGTAACCTAATTTATTAAACTGTTTGTATAGATTCCCAGAATATTGCATATAATTTTGAGAAAAATTACAGATATTTAATATTTGTATAATTAAAGTGAATTTAATGATAATTTTTTCGATTTTTCAAAACTATATTATTTACACAAATATCTAATCGCATCACAAAAGTGTTAAACACAGTGTTAGTACTTTCTTAAGTTAAATTTCACAATTGTTTTGTAAAGTTTTTCTTGTGAAGTATCCGTCTTCTGATATAACATTATTCAAAACCAATTGTTTGGTTAGTATAACGTTGGATATGATTAAATATTTGTGATTATATTTTTCATAAATACTTTGACATTCAATATATCGATCCCTCATTTGTCACATTTATTTGTTATCCAAATCTATAATATTTATTTAATTGATAACTCATATAAAAAGTCAAAAAAAGCTATTTTCTATTATATTGGGGAACATTACATATCTGTTTGAAACATAGATACCAAATAATTCCCAATAGATATGTCACTCAAAATGATATACAATGTACTGCTCTATAAAATTATTGATTGATTATTTCATTTTAAGGTAAAATACCAACAAATAATTTATGTATAAAAATCGTTATTAAATTATAAAGAATTAAATGAAAACTTTATTATTAGAAAAGCTAATTATTATTATTAACAGAATTCAATGAATTAAAGACATTTACTAAATTGCATGACAATTAATAAAGATAAATATTAGTACATTATACTGTATTTACACATTTAGTTTATGAATTATCTACTGTACTGTACATTATATGAACACAATATTGTAGTTAAAGACTAGTTTAAGTAGAAATCAAAACAAATAACAAACCCATTGAATAAAGAGTCAAAATCCTCGGCTTCTAACTCGATGTTATCCATCTTGAGATCATTGTTTGTGTGACCAAAACCCGTGTTTTTGAATGTCACGCCTTCGCCAGTCATGTCTGAGTTGCGACTTCTTCTTAACACCACTTCATCCGGATTTGAATCACTTCTGTTCACTGAAGACATGGCATTATTAGTGTAACTAAACTTATTATTATTATTATTGTTATGGTTTAGATTCGTGAGCTCTATATTCTGAGTTCTGTCCATAATTTTGTTAATTTTGATCGCTTTTTGTTATTATCGGCAATAATATTAAAACTAAATTTATTTAATTAAAACTTCATTATTACTAAAGAAAGCATTTGTCACATATTGTAAAAAATTACAAAATATCTAAATTAAAAAAGCATCTATCACTTATACACTTTCAATCAATCACTAAACATTAAGATATTGTGTACAGTTTGATTCAGCACGTAAACCAAATGTACATTTAGATGTATTTAATTTATATATATTATAAAAACGATTAAGGACAGATCCTGGATCTATCGTGAATCCTATACCTAACTATTCATAACAAATAATAATTTTTTCGTCACTAATTGTATCGTCAATGAGAAGGGTTTTTATCGGCTTTGAATTCCGACATCACTTAACTATAGGTAAAATATTTCCTATTTTATCAATACTTTCGCTAATCAGTGAGACTTATGTCGGGTTTATATGCAATAATACCATTCGTTTGTATTCCTAATAATAATAGGATTTATACACATTTTTCTAACAATTTGGTCTCTCGTTTACCTTTGAATTTAGATTAGATTTTAATATTAATACAATATTTTGCAATGAATCACAGCCCACGCTATTATGTATTATTATACAGTACATTGTATATTGAAGTTCGCCTATGATGATTTTAAATAATAGTTATTAATTTATATTTTAATTGATAATAATATTTAAAAACAAAATCTCTGTTTTATAAGTTATATTGATTTGATGCCAATGTTTCCGATTATACTGTTATAAAGAATTGTTATAATCTTTATTAAAGATAATACATATACGAAAATATAGACTCAATAAAAACCCAACGAAATTACAATAAATTATAATTCTTGTAAATCCTCTACTGATATGTAGTAAAAATATGATTATTTATTATAATTTAATAAAACAAATGTAATGTCCATTTTGGGATTAAAACTAAATTAATGACAACCAAAGTTGTATTAATCACTAAAATGTGCAAATTATACAATTTGTCGTCAATCAACGATTTATAGATATTAGTTAAATATATTTTTATTGCAATCATTACACAATTATTAAAATATTTAATGCATTACAATAAATAACAAATTATATAAGTTAATCATTGTTCGCAATATTTTACTAAATTATTTTTGTTCAATAATAAAACTAATATTTATGTTAATATAGTCATATAATTTAGTCCATTAACAAAGTATTAGCTACTAAATTAACAAATATAGTATACAGCACATTTAGATTAAAAATATTACATTGTTTGTATTTTACTATTAAATATTTAAAAGCTATTGACAACTAATTTTGTAGGAATTTAATTTAATTTTACTTTGTAAAAAATTAATTATATAATCGTATTGTTTACTTCATTTCAATCTCTTTAAACATGTCTTAAATTAAATGTGTTATGACTTTCTCTTTTTTGTCCAGAATAATGCATTTCATTGATTTGTTTTATAAACAATAGTCTACGAAATGAATTTACAAATAAATTTGTAATCATGTTATAAAAATAATGTTTAAAATAGTTTGTTTCAGTCTAAGAGTAGTTATTCCGTTATCTAAAGAAAATACTTTAATATATTTTCAATCAACTAAGATATCTATATAACTAACACATAGCGTATTGAAAGTGCCCTAAAGTATTCATCGTTAATAAATTGTTAATAGATTTAACGATGGCTTATGAGAGCTTTGTTATCATCTGTGAACAAATTTGCTGTCAATTCTAAATACTTAACAAATGATTCTTCAATCAAAATGCAATACAATATCATTTCAAACCTTATGATTAGTTCACACCAACACAGAGAGTGTGTCTCCACTCATATTAATACAGAGAAAAATAATGTCCCAAAAGATCATATCATTGACCACTCATTTGCCATCTTTGGTGTCCTTAGCGTTCATAGAGTGATGTCCGCTGTCTTCTAAGTCACACAATTCCAGCGATTCTTTGTCCACAATCTTAGCGCCGACCGTCTGTTCCTCTTCATAGTCGGTCACAAATAGGCCGGCGTTTCGTCTCTGAACTGTTGTCTTCTTTGCAGTCAATTTAGTCTTCAGATGAAAACGTTATTTATTTAATAATCGTAAATCAATACGAAGTCATGTCTGACACTAACCTCTTTGCGAGTCATCACATCGTCGTCCCGGAGCCGAAAGAATCGTCTCCAGAGATGCCATTTATGCACTTTTAAAGTGTTACTCGTTTTGAGTTTTTCGGTAATAAATGTGTCGCTTGTATTGGATTTGTCGGACACTTTGGAGGATCGGCCCAACTGTTTGATACCTTGCGCTAAATCCAGACAAGAATAGGCACATCTGAGGCGACACTTCATTATACTTCTCTTACCCCATATCTTAACGGAGGTAAGGGTTGAGTCGTCCTGTAATACTTGTGATGCGGAGCGCCCTATAAGTAGTCAATCAATCAAAACAAAAAGTTGTGATAAAGGACAAAGTTCAATGTAAATGGGTAAAATGCCAAAAATTTTATATTGAAATTTTCTATTTGTTTTTAATTTGCAAAATTAATTATCATTGTGAGCATAATTTAAATTAATATAAAAGATGTACAGTAATTACGTTAATCAATTTAAAACACGTGCATAACTATTACTAAATTTCTTAATTTTGACATAACTTTTACCCATTATGTCAGATTTGGGAAATTCCTTCAGATATCGATTCTACTCATCCATACCTTTCAATTGATATATAATATGATATATTTATTCATAAAATACAAGATTTGATATTAAAATTTTCCCCGATAAAAGTGGTCACTGCGGCCAAACCCGAGGTCGTCTGGCCAAATAAAATATACAACAATACTTCCTACAGAGTGTACTTTAGATTTATAACAATAATTCCCGATTGCACTCTTGGCATTTTTTGAACATTATTATTTGTTGAAATGATAAAACAGAAACTTTTTTCCATCACATATTAATTAATAAAATTTTAATATAATTATACTTTACCTCTGAAGGGATGATGCGCTGAAATGTAGTCTTCAGACAATTGGCTCGGATTGAGATTTTTTGTCATTAATCATAACATAAGACATCACTTGTGGCGAGAAAACAGATGAAATGTATTGTTTAATAATGACATTGAAATTCTTATGCTCTAAAAGCAGATGCCGTGTAATCATAGCCTATTTGATGTGAAACAATGCAAATGAATACATGTTTGGCATGGATTTGATGTCAAAACGCAGTCATAAATACCATTAGGAAACTCTTGGAGGAGTTAATTGATAAATTAAGGCTACAGTCAATCAATAATGCAATTGTGGTGAAGGCTTTCATTGGAAACATTACTGCGATATATAAAACTCATATTTAATGGTAAAAAAAGTTGTGATTTTTACAATATCACTACATGTATGTCTTTTTGGTCGAAGACTCCACCCTTTCATATGTTATCATAATTTTCTAATTGTAATAATGATGGCTATAATCTCATTACCGACTAAATGTATTCAGAAAAAAACTATGTACTAAAATGTAACACAAAATATACATCTGTTCTCTCAATGTATGTCTGTTGGAAATGAGAGCCCATTGTGTGAGTGTCTCTACGGCTACTACTCTCTCGATAGAGTGGCCCTCAAAACCAAAAAAGCGATCATTATTTTAATTATTTTCCATTTACTGGCTATCAATACAATTGTAATACACGTGTAGATTACGTGAATTTACATTTACATTCAGACCCTTTAATTACAATCCGATAAGTTATCTAAAAATAATCTTTCATTCAATCCCTGACCGATACGAGCCATGAGAGTCGACCACTAGCTATAAAATTTTAGATATTATGCTTTTTACTATCTGTTTATATTTAATGCTAATTTTTCAATTAAATTTGCAACTAATTTTCAAATGTTATCTAATGTAACATTAGTAATGTTTATTTAACTCGTTTTTATTATAGATTTAATTTCATTTACGTATACACAATGAGACAGCTGTAAGAGTAGTTGTCTATATAAATAAATTATTCAGCATTTAATACAAATATAGCGACAATTAGTGCAATAATTACATTATTGAGAATAATTAATAAATTATTCATTTTCTTAACTCATTTGTTATTATTAGCATTATTTGAATGATTACTGAGACCTGAACTTAATATTAAATGATTTTCTAAATAAAAATTTCTAATTATTTTTTGCCAATCATTTAACTTATTATAAATCATTTTATAATAATTAATTGTATTGTCATATATTATTATTAATATACGATTGTTATACTTTTAGTTTTCATAATTAAAATTGAATTATTTATTCATACAAGAGAAAAATATCGTATTTCAAGAAAATTAAATTTTATTTATTTTGTAACATTTCTTAAAACATAATTCTTTATCAATTACAGTCAACGTAAATATATTGATATAATTAAAATATATTACTCTATGATGTTATATATACAGTAATCATCTGTCTATTGAATAGTTTTAATGAACCTCTAGTTTCACTATTTGACCACAACTTCAGGCATTTCTACGGCAGTACTACTAATGATTTCAATATTATTATTATTATTTACATCCAATTCTGACTTCTCTACTGGTATTTCATCTTCTGATACCTTTTTGACTGATATATTCTCATCGTTAATATCTTCGGGTCCCTTATTGTCAGCAATTTTCTCTTCAATCACCTCTTCTTTAACACTCTTAGCGTCTGTTTCTGCTGTTATTTTGTCTTCAATTTTATCCTCAATTTTAGTTTCGGGTTTTTCTGGATTTGTATCGTCTGTTTTGACTTCAATTTTAGCCTCAGTTTTGACTTCAATTTGACCCTCAATTTTGTCTTCAATTTTATCCTCAGTTTTAGTTTCAATTTTTTCTACATTATTGTCAATAATTGTGTCGTCAGTTGTCATTTCAACCGATGGCTTGTCTTCGGGCACTTTTATCTCATCGTTATTTCCCTGCTTTTCCTTCTCACCCAACACTATGTTTCCATTAGATGCCTTCTCTTCCGATTCTTTCACATCAGAACTCTTCTCTTCAGCCTTTGTTTCTGTCAATACTTTTTCCTCAATTTTTACTTCTGTTTCAACACTTTTATTATCAATAGTTTCTGTTTTATTGCTATTGGTTTCAGTCGTCTTCTCAATTATTTTCTCATTTGTTTCTTTAGTTGTTTCTGTTTTGGACTCATTCTCAACATTAGGTTTACTATCAATGTGTTGATCGACAATAATTTTGGTGTCACTTTTCTATAAAATAAATTAAAAATATTAATATTAAAGAAATTACAATCAAATTAAAATTAAATTATTTCATACCTGTTCCTCAATTTCTATCTCATCCTTTTCGCTGAGTTCTGTGTTATACATAATCCCACCCCTAATCCAACGCCTCCACAGGTCAGCACTTGTCCGACATCTGACCCTCAGATTGACGCCTCCTTTTCTGATCCGTGAAAATATAGATTTAGACTTTTTGGGTGTTTTTTGCAGATTTTCCAAACGATAACTCGCAGGCATCGAGCGCTCAATCTTTGCAACTGTTATTATGTGTGAAACAAAATTACATTAAATAATTACAATAATTTTTTAACAAATATTAGAAAAACAATTTGAAAGTTTTATTTGACACATATTTTTAAAATATTTTTCGTAAAATAATTATTTATTTCTCGCATTATTTTAAAGAGAAAACACTCCCATAAAAATGCGTTAAAAACATTGTACTGACGGCTAATTTTATGTTTTGTAAAACTAAATTTAATATTGATTATTATGATTGAATGTCTGAACGAAATAATATTTTATATAAAATACATTCTTTATTTTGTTTTCTTGCAACAAAAAACTGTTGTATATATTATTCATTATTTCAATGATATAATAAATTCACTGCAAAACTAATACAATACGTTAACATTTTGCATTAGAATACCATAGAATAGTGTATAACATTAATCGCAAACTCATTATTACTTGTATTATGAAAACTATTTAATTTTAACAAACAATTTTATGTTACAATAAAAAAGACAACAAATACTTTGGATAACAAAAACATGAAAAACGATACAAAACATGCAAACGTTAGGCAAACCTGTCTTTCTTTTGCTGAAGTCAAAAGCGGTGACCCTTTTAATCCATTTCAGATATCGCGGACATATTCTCTCCAATTCTTCTTTTTTGAATTCCTTGGGATTGAAATACGGGGTCGAAGAGGAAGAGGGATAGACGCGAGACATTTGACATGAGATTTACGTTGAGATAACTCGCAGATTATCTCAAGAAATCGCTTCAATCATTTCGCTATAGAAAATTAGTATAGTTTTAAATATATAATACACTATTTTTCATATATGTATTTCGCATATACTTTAGTATACATTACAGTATTTCGCTGGAAAAATAATTATTAATTACAATATTAATATCACTTAACAATGGATAACACAATAAGTAGTTATTTGAGTAAAATTCTTGAATAGAATATACGAATTAAACGAAAAATATATGTTATATTTGGCCACAGAATCGACAGTGAAATGAAATGCACAAAACATTGCATTCAATTTGTGCTCTATTTCTCCCTAATTATAATACTCTGTGTGTATCAGAGAGACAGTCATCAGAGATTTGAATCACGTTTTTGGACCACAAAAGGATTGTTATTGAATATTATGACAATTATGTCGATTACCACCACTACTATCACTATTGCACACTACATGTGAACATTGAATATACATGTGTACACACAGTGAGAATTAAAAATCAATTAATCGATTATAGCATAAGGTTTTAAACATAATTTAAATCTCATAATATGAGAATATTATTCTTGTTTAAAGTGGTCCAAAAAATTATACATTTTTAGGTAAAAAAATTATTGTTTATACAAAAAATAATATTAATGAAAATGGGGAATACATGAGAATTTTCATCAAACATACCGTCAGATTAATTAAACTAATGGTCGAAAAACACTACAAAATAGTTAACGTATTGTATCTTCTTTTTTGTCATAACAAAAATATTTTATTATTTTTGTTGCGTTGAAGGCATTGAAAAGATAAACTGATTTCTCTCTCTCTCTCTCTCTCTCTCTCTCTCTCTCTCTCTTTCTGGCATCCAATGACTGTATAACATAGAGGGCTATGAAAATCGATTTATGCGCTGAAATATAACTAATTAATTAGGAATTGTTTTATAAAATTAGCGAAACTTATTAATAATTATTATATTCTTTGCCATAAAAACACTATTTTTCATTTCAATGTTATTTTATATATTTTTCTTGTTTTCATTGCATTTTTATTCAATTTTATTTCAATCCCAAGGAATTCAAAAAAGAAGAATTGGAGAGAATATGTCCGCGATATCTGAAATGGATTAAAAGGGTCACCGCTTTTGACTTCAGCAAAAGAAAGACAGGTTTGCCTAACGTTTGCATTTTGTATATCGTTTTTCATGTTTTTGTTATCCAAAGTATTTGTTGTCTTTTTTATTGTAACATAAAATTGTTCGTAAAATTAAATAGTTTTGAGAATACAAGTAATAATGAGTTTGCGATTAATGTTATACAGTATTCTATGTTATTCTAATGCAAAATGTTAACGTATTGTATTAGTTTTGCAGTGAATTTATTATATCATTGAAATAATGAATAATATATACAACATGTTTTTTATTGCAAGAAAACAAAATAAAGAATGCATTTTATATAAAATATTATTTCGTTCAGACATTCAATCATAATAATCAATATTAAATTTAGTTTTACAAAACATAAAACTAGCCGTCAGTACAATGTTTTTCACGCATTTTTATGGGAGTGTTTTCTCTTTAAAATAATGCGAGAAATAAATAATTATTTTACGAAAATTATTTCAAAAATATGTGTCAAATAAAATTTTCAAATTGTTTTTTATAATATTTGTTAAAAATTATTGTAATTATTAAATGTAATTTTGTTTCACATATAATGTAATAACAGTTGCAAAGATTGAGCGCTCGATGCCTGCGAGTTATCGTTTGGAAAATCTGCAAAAAACACCCAAAAAGTCTAAATCAATATTTTCACGGATTAGAAAAGGAGGCGTTAATCTGAGGGTCAGGTGTCGGACAAGTGCTGACCTGTGGAGGCGTTGGATTAGGGGTGGGATTATGTATAACACAGAACTCAGCGAAAAGGATGAGATAGAAATTGAGGAACAGGTATGAAATATTTTGATTGTAATTTCTTTAATATTAATATTTGTAATTTATTTTATAGAAAAGCGACACCAAAATTATTATTGATCAACACATTGATAGTAAACCTAATGTTGAGAATGAGTCCAAAACAGAAACAACTAAAGAAACAAACGAGAAATTAATTGAGAAGACGACTGAAACAAATAGCAATAAAACAGAAACTATTGATAATAAAAGTGTGGAAACAGAAGTGAAAATTGAGGAAAAAGTATCGACAGAAACAAAGGCTGAAGAGAAGAGTTCTGATGTGAAAGAACCGGAAGAGAAGGCATCCGATGGAAAGGTTGTGTCAAATGAGAAGGAAAAGCAAGAAAATAACGATGAGATAAAAGTGCCCGAAGACAAGCCATCGATTGAAATGACAACTGAGAACCAAATTATTGACAATAATGTAGAAAAAATTGAAACTAAAACTGAGGATAACATTGAAGACAAAACTGAGGATAAAATTGAAGTCAAAACAGACGAAACAAATTCAGAAAAACCCGAAACTAAAATTGAGGATAAAATTAAAGACAAAATAACAGCAGAAACAGACGCTAAGAGTGTTAAAGAAGATGTGATTGAAGAGAAAATTGCTGACAATAAGGGATCCGAAGATAATAGCGATGAGAATATATCAGTCAAAAAGGTATCAGAAGATGAAATACCAGTAGAAAAGTCAGAATTGGATGTAAATAATAATAATAATATTGAAATTATTAGTAGTCCTGCCGTAGAAATGCCTGAAGTTGTGGTCAAATAGTGAAACTAGAGGTTCATTACAACTATTCAATAGACAGATGATTACTGTATATAAGATATAACATCATAGAGTAATATATTTTAATTATATCAATATATTTACGTTGACTGTAATTGATAAAGAATTATGTTTTAAGAAATGTTACAAAATAAATAAAATTTAATTTTCTTGAAATACGATAT